CCTGCCACTCCCCCCTTCTCCATGGTTCGCCCCCCCCTTCCTCCAAAGTCCTCTATACCCCCGACCCTCCCTACCCCAGTCGCCCTCTTCCCGCCATGGTTTTCTGGCTCTTGTGGGGGACCCGGGACCACGCAATAATTTCAGGATGGGGAGCAAATCGGAGAATGTCCGTTTTCTGATCTGCTCTGTGATCAGTGACACGTGCTGTGATCGGCATTTCCTGAGTCCGCTGTCACATGTGTAGCTGTACAGCTCCGCCATTTTTTTCTGGCTCTTGTGGGGGACCCGGGACCACGCAATAATTTCAGGATGGGGAGCAAATCGGAGAATGTCCGTTTTCTGATCTGCTCTGTGATCAGTGACACGTGCTGTGATCGGCATTTCCTGAGTCAGCTGTCACATGTGTAGCTGTACAGCAGATTCAGCAGAATGCTGTGCTGGATTTTCTGTACTGGAGGGTGAGCTCATAAAGAGAGCCTGTCACCTCCAAAATATATCGCATAAGGGCTTGTTAACCTGTGTGTGTGATATCAATAAAGTTAGGTGAAACAAAAATAAAAGAAAGTGATAAATACAAAATAATAAAATAAAAAGGTTAAAAAATGTAAAGTGATTAAAAAGGTAATAAAAATAATAAAATACAAATTATAAACTAAAGATTTAAAAAGGTAAAAAGTAATAAAATAAAATAACCTGCCCCACCCACCATCTGCATGTGAATAAATGCATGTGTAGGGCATTGTGTGTGAGTGCTGCTCGCTCCCATTCCACCATGTGCCATATTGTGGTAGCCATCCTTTTTGGTAAAATAGAATTACCTGCTTAAATCTGGCCAACCCGCCCCCCCATACTTACCTTTTGGTGAACGGTCCTTCCCCATCGCCGGTACAGGTGCGCTATCTGTACCCAATACTGCCGTCCAGTGCAACCCTACGGATTTTGAATTTCACTCGCAAATTGCGAGAGCTCATTGGTCAGTTCGGTCAGGTGACCACGCTGACCAATGAGAAGCATTTATTGGCACGGTTAAAATATTTTTTTGTATCAGGATAAGTAGATTGTCATAAAGGACAAGTAGATTGGGCCCCCACTTTAGTCCTTGGACGAGTAATATTAAAGAAGATTTCCACACCCAAATCCAAAGTTACTAAGGGCCATGCCGAGGGTGAATAAAATCGGGAGCCTGGACATGAAGAAGAAAGAAAAATGAGCCCTGCCGCTTGCCGTGGTACAGTGCTCAGGCCCACTAATTATTATATGACAGTCCTGGTGTGAGGGCACTACAAGTCTCAGCAGTCCCTGTCCATTATATGACAGTCCTGTGTGTGTATTTTTTTTTTGCTGGTGATTTAATGCACACTAAAAAATTTGTTAGCAACAAATTTCGTTTCTAACAACATTTTTTGTTTACATCTTGCTGCTGCCCGGCGGCTAGATTCTGCGATCAGCAGCAGAATGTAAACAATGGAGAGCAATAGCCAGCCTGTTATTGGCTATTTCAAATTGCAATAGCCAATAGCAGGCTGGTTATTGAGCAGAGGAGTAGACCTGAGAGAGAACTTTCTCTCTCAGTTCTGCACATGTGGGCGAGGTTTCAATAGCCAGTTTGCTATTGGCTATTACAATTTGTAATAGCCAATAGCAGGCTTTCTATTGTACCTGCCTACTGAGCACAGGAGAGAAAAGCGTGTCCTAACCTAGCGCAATAAATGGATGGCAAGGGAAACAATGTTTGAATGGAAACAATGTTGCACTCGCATGGTTACAGTGTTGTTAAACTGTGATACATAGCCGTCAGAAGCAATCTGTGGTGGCTGGTCCAGGGGGCCATGGGAATGGTTGCTGGAGAGTTACTATTAACTCTCAAGCACCTACCGATCCCTGTGGGTGCTGAATAACTGGGAGTTTACTGTATCTATTTTAAAAAATATATTATTTTAGTTCATTAAAAATGTAAAGTGGATTTAGAGCAGTTTACACCAACCGTTTATAAATCAACCTTCCTAACCGTATGCATTATATATATATATTTTTCAGGTATGAAGAGCTTGATTGTGATCCCAGTGTACTTAAAGCCAAAGGAGATTATATCACTGAAGACATCTACCCAGTTCATACCATAATAGATAATAAAAATGGGATCCAAGGCTCGTGCCGTTTTTTTAAGGAGCGAGTTTCAGTTGCAGAGCACCTAAGAAAACACCCAATCACATGTGAAGATGCAGTTGCTAAGTGAGTATGATGTATTATATTTTCTAAGACAGAAGATACTCTTATCTGTATCTGTGATACTCCAGATGTTCATTACACAGTTTTGTAAATCACATGTTTTGGTGTCTTTTCCTAATTGTTTTACAAAGAGCTGTGCAAACTGTTTGCACTATATAAATACCATACAATAATTATTAAATTAAAAAAAGAAGCATCTTGAGGCATAGTGTATTAACCACACATTAAACTGTCAATTATCCAGTCTTCATTTATAGTTATCCTGTCTACTATCGGGTATAAAGTGCAGGTTGATAGAGGTGCTAGGACATACCCGCAGCAACTATTTTATTATTGCCCCCAGTGCTTCCAACAGCCAGGCCGTTCTGAGTCCGCAAAGTTCCAGCACTTCCCTGTTCAGAGCTTGCATAACACCTCCCAACTCCAAATTGCTATTAGCAGTCTATCATAGTAATGGGCTAGTAGGGGGGGCTTTATCTGTAGGTCTTTGCAGGCACTTAGACATGACCATGGATTGCGTTTTGATTGCGCATTATAATGGATTGCCCTTTTACATTTTTTTTTTTTTTACTAGGGAATTAGTTGGGGTGAGGGAAAGAGAGTAAATGGCCAAAAACTACGATTGTGCTACGCATGTTTGGTATCGCCGCACACGCCAGAGTGAGATCAATAAATCTAGGGCCAATATGTTGTGGAAATTTTACTAGGATGTGTTTTTAGTATATTGTAATATTGTAATCTTGTCTCTCAGTGTCCGGATTTCTGGGCCATGCTCGATTGGCGCGTGACCCGGATTTAAATAGACACTGGGGTTAAACCATTGGAGTAGATATCTTAAGCGTGGCGGAGCAGTGTTTTCTTCGCAAGTGTGTGGACGCCAAGCTAGGGCCCCTGCGCAAAACGCGGATTTATTGGTTTGGCGTGTATACAATTTGCTTTGAGGACATATTATTATTTAAGATACATATCTGCCTTTATGAAAGGAACGTGCGTTCGTATTTCTGATGCGTCTGATCAGCGCGCTGGAGGTAGTATGGCATTGTCCCTGCAGATAAGCACGCATTCATAGGAATCATAGTAACGTTATTGGGCATTGCTCACTGAGCAGTGCTGGATGAGGTTCGCTCAAGTGGTAATGGGAGATTGTGTTTGTGGGTCTGGAAAGATGGCGGCTAGGAAAAACGTGCGGCTGTGCACACGGGTCTATTGGCTATGCACACCGCTTCTACTATGATACAGACATACACTCCCTTTTCTTTTGTGTGCATGTGCTTTGTTGACTGGCTATGATATGTTGAGGTATTGAGGAAGTGATGTTGGTTGTTGACATCACTTCCTGGTTTCCTGTTTGTGACATCACTTCCTGTTGGACAGCTATAAAAATAAACAAATACCTGTGCTGAGCTCTAAGAACCGAACCACAGAACGAGCAGCATGAAAACATGGGATACCTCCAGTCCTTGCACAAAAGAGCTTAATACAACTGTGCTTTTAAGCACGGGGGAAATTCTTTGTGTTTGGTTTGTATGGATTGTGTGCGTTGAACCAAGCGAATCTCCATAACAAATATTTATGCGTATCTCTAAACTGATGACCTGTAGGGGCTTTTAAAATGTCGTCTATGGACTTTTTTTCCCTGATGTTCATGTCCCGTGCCTAGGTTTCACATTCTTTGCTCTGAGCTATCTTCAGGCTAGACCTACTCTCTTTAGAATTCGTCCTCTTAAGTGTCTATCCCTTAGTTTTTAAATCTCAGTCAGGAAACTTTCTGTGCCTCTCTTGAACAGTTCTATAAGGTTCATTACAACAGCTCATAGGATTTCTGATTTTCAAGCTTTCTCCGTCGAGGAGCTTTCTTTTTGTACTTTATCAGGTTGTGCTTTGAGTAGATCATTCCGTTCTTCCCAAAGTCTCCTGGTATTCCACAAATCACAGCATGTGGTGTCTGCTTAAATCCTTCGACTGTCATGATCAGGAAGTATTCATCAGATATTCATAGATGTCTTATTCATTCTCTTAATGCCCAAATATTAGAGAAAGTACAGTAATCCTTTAGTCGTAGTTCTAGTGGCTTCACAAAAGCAAGGGTGCTTCCAGGTCTTCTATAACATGCAAGTTCAGAATAACCTTCTCTTAGGCTTATGCAATAGTAAAGCAGAACCTTCTTTGCTTTAAACCCACTCACCTGGATCCGTTTCTGCTTTCTATGTTGAGAACTCTAGGGTTAATACATTTATCAGATCCATAGAAGAAGCCACCTTGTCCTCCTAGCGCACAATACACATTATTGAGTTAATGTTCTTTCCAGCCAGGATCCAATTTTTATTTGCTAGTTCCTCCAGGTTTGTATGTTTTTTATCCACTCAGGTAGTGCTGTCCTGCAAGATGACTGAAAAAAGTTTTTCAAGAATATTTCAGCACATCGTTAGTGTTCCTTCCCTTTTTTTTTTGTCATTCTTTTTTTGCAATGACCTCTAAGAGGGAGTTATTTTTAGCCTCACTATAGCATATTTTTTCCTAGATGGGCCAAGCTATTTCTCAGGTACTGCTGACTTGGAAAATCTCAGGAAATGTGTATCAGGTAACTAATGTTGTTGTTGTTTTTTTTAGATCCTATGATGCTGTTATCTTGAGTGTAAAGATGAAGACATATTTTAGTAAAAGTATGTTTAAATTCTGAAAATTTTACATTACAATATTATGATGGGTTTAACTTGTTTTTCAGATGGCGAGAGAAACTTGTGATTGTTGCTTCTCAGACTTTGCGGTTTCGGGCTTTGATAGGATGGGATGGTGATCCTTCATTAAAGTTACCAGATTGTTCATACTGCTTGCTTGAGAAAATTGGAAGATCACGCTGGCAAGGAGAAATTCAGAGGGACCTGCAGGGAGACTTCAAGTATGTCCATTTTTTTTCTTTTATTATTGTTTCAGTTTGTTAAAGGGAAACTCTGTGTTAATAAAATTAAAATTAAAAATTGTTAAGTTTAGTTACTTTTTAAATTACTTTTATTTATCGTTGTTTTTTCTAATATGTGCAAACTCGCATTTAAAAACTCCCAAATATTTATTTAATTTGTTTTTTAAATATCATAAGACAGGCTCAATTGGTATTGGCAGTAGTTAACCATTTATGAGACAAGGACACCAAGTAAACAGTCCAAGCCGGTTTGTCCTGCACTTTTATGCTGCAAGGCAGCAAACAAAGAGGATTAATGTAGGAGTGCTTTGTACAGCAGTTTGTAGCATAAAACATCTGTTCGTACGAGCCACAGACTAACAGGATGCTCCCTTTTGGCTTCTACAAAACCCTCAGCATATTTAGCATTCTGTCAGTAATCGGCCTTTCACCCAGCAGCAGGCTGTCAAATAGCAGAGAGAGGAGAGAGCACCTTCAGCCTCAGTCAGATCTGAGGAAACAAAATGTTTTCTCCATAAGAGACCCAAATCCTGTTGCCCCTCTTCATGTGTAGGAGAAAAACCTAGGTAATACACATACACCGACCCAACCCTGAAAGCCCAGGGCCTTACATACCCTTCCTCTGTTCAGATGTGGGAAAGAGCATGTTTTGCCAACATACAGTGGACATGTGACACTCTATCAGCAAACCTTTGCTTGGTTGCTGGCAATATTTTCTGTGCATCTTCTAAAATGGGTTTCCTCTCAGGTACCCAATAATGTTTTAACTTTACTTTGATATGCCTTTCACTGGTGATATTTTAGGATTGTTTTCTGCTCCAAGAGCCTCCTGGCCCTTTTCATCCAGCAGAAGACTCTGGCATAGCAGAGAGAGAACCCTGAGCATCAGTCAGCTCACATACATAAAGGCCAGTGCACAGATTAGACTAATAAGGTGGTCTGGCAACCAGGTAAGATAAGGGGCTAGATATTGAGACTTATTCCCACCCAAAGCTCTACAAAGCCTCCAAGGTCCAGGGCCCAGAAAATAACTTAAGATCTGAAAAAATAAAGTTATGTGTGTGTGTGTATATATATATATATATATATATCTCTAGATATATCTCTAGATATATCTCTTATATATATATATATATATATATATGATTTTGTTTTTCAGGGTGGACGCTGGGAAAATCCATTATATTCGACAAGTGCTTGATAGGAAAGACCTCTTAACAATGCAGACACATGTTATCAAGCTACCCAGTGGAGCTCAGCAGCATTCTTTACTTCTCCTTCTGAAGCGCTTTCATGTTGACAGGTTTAGTACCACATACTCCAAATGCAAATTGGTATTTTTTTTTTTTTATATTGTTCACCAGGGCTTTAAGAACATCATTGGTACTCTAATGGTCGGCTCATATCCACAGCGAGTGATCGGAAGCTGGTTTACTTAACATGTGATGTGTGTGTGTGTTTTTTTGTTTTTTTAATTTATATTAGATGTAGCTTGGGAAATGTATACAACCTATTCTATCATAGGAATGGGCAAGAAATTGAACTATTAAGCATTTCTGTAATGTACACTCTGTCATGCACACTCCTATTCCCATACATGGGTGCTTAAATCAACTTTTTCCTTAGAATAAAAATTGTCAAAAGTGCACCTGCAAAGAAGACATTAGTTAATACTTGCCTCTCTCACACCATTGATCATTCCGGTAGTGAAGTGATTCTGCTGCTTAAATCAATGTCAGAATCCAACACTTCCGGGAATGTCAAATCTCTGGACGCAATAGTGATGTAGGCGGCAGCAGATTGAAACATGGAGTGCAGTGAGTGTTGGATATTGAATATTTATCAGGCAGCATTATCTCTTTCTTGCAGCAAAGATCAGTGGCATGTGCGGAGAGGAAGTTGTAAACATTTACAATCTCCTTTGCACTTTTTCAAAGTCTTTATTTGTAATATGACATGTTCAAAAACGTTGGAGTTTTCGCTTAATAGAAGCTAAAGTTAGAAACTTCCTATCTTTTCATTGGGTTGTATCTTGTATAACATATACAATTTTTTTTTTTCCTAGGAAAAATAAGTATGATACACTTGCAGAGAGGGTTTCTTTAGTGTTAAGTGAACGTGCGAATCGCATAGAAACTCTGGTTAACCTTCGGGAAGAAATGGTAATGTCTCTTTTCTTTCTACTATGGCATTTGAGCAATTTGTAGGCAGACACCAAGTTAGGTAATCTGAACAAACACAACAAAATGCAATAACTCTGTTTCCGGTGGGAGGAGCCTATCTCTCTAATGCTGTCCTGGAAGGTTCCTAGAAACAGAGTTACCAGGTACGTAACTCCAATTTTTATTTTAATGAGTTACCACATAAATTATGTATCACAAGATATTTAGTTATAAAGGAAATGTTTTACATTTAAAATATTAAGGTAACTTTTTTTATAATATTTTAGGTATTTTTTTTTTCTTTTTTCCCCCCTTTTTAAGGGTTTACCTGAACGACTCTTTAAAAGACTGTATTATTATATGGCTGCTGCAGGAATTGTGAAAATAATTTCTTTGCCATTACAAGAGATTCAGCCACTTACTGAGCATTGCAAAACTAAGAGAGGTATGTCTGGCAAGGATTGTTTGATATTAATAATTGTGCATTTCTACTCCACTGTTCACCAGAGCCAAAGATTTCTCGTCTGGGAAACCTTAAGCTCCCCTCTGATGATTCTCATCTACAGATGGTAATAACCAGAACTCTATACCTGGCCACCAAAACTATTGCACAGCACTGGCTATCCCCACCCTCTATCACACACTTTTAAATAGAAAAGGTGAATTATATCCTGCACTTAACCTATGCAAGTAGAAGTAGCCACCAAAAATTTCAGATCTGGCATGGGTGTCTGAGCGACTCTACACTTACAGCCCCTATTAGTCCTGAACAGACTCTTCGGACATCCTGGTCATTAGGACAGATAGCGTATATGCACCCCTTCCACGTACCAGGTATTCCATTTGTATTAAATATTTGATCCACTGAGCACAATTAGCTTTTTAATAATAATACAATCCTTTATTGCATGTATGTCTCACATACAACTGGCATTACATTATTATTCATTGTAACAAGTGGATTCTTTTATTCTTCTTGTGCTGTTTTATTTTGTACGAAACTTATAAAATTTGAAGAACTTTGTTCTTCTTTAATAAAGATACCAATACCATGATAATAAAAAGAGGTATGTCTTGGTGTTGGTATTTATTAAATACATGCAATAATACATTAATTACATGCATAAAGGCCAGCTTGAATAAATAATTAAACCTGGCTAAATAATTTTCTCTACCAGAAGGAGCTAGTTCAAGCCCGTTTTAAAAATAAAATCTGGAAGTATTCCTTAATGCACAGAATATTACTGGATATTGAGCTCTTATAGGCATATTAAAGTGTCATTAAACCCTCAGATTTTTTAACATAAACCAATACTGTAATGTGTGCCTTACTGTAATCCATGGTAGTTTCCCTTCTCTTTGCTGCTCTTCCTTTTAAATCCTCATGTCTTCTCATGCTTGGGGAGAACTTCCCTTTGCAGCTGAGTGCCTCTTCCTGTAGTGCTGGCTCATGTTGTGAACCTACACACAGACACCATGTATCCATTTCAGAGACAAGGCAGTCTGCTGCAAAACAGAAGTTCTGCAGAGCATGAGAAGAGATACGGATTTAAAAGGAAGAGCAGCAAAGAAAAGGGAAACAACCATGGATTACAGTATTGTTTTATGTTAACAAAATTTGAGGGTTTAATGTCACTTTAAGCACCAGAGATTGTTGATCCAGGAAATATCCAATTGCCTTATGGGATCAGGAAGGAATTTTTCCCCCCTTTTGGAGCAAATTGAACTATGCATATAGGAGCTTTTTGGCCTTCCTACTCCTTCTTCTGGCATAGCGTTCTGTTTCAGGGTTTTTTCTTTCTTTTTTTTTTTTCATCTGTTATCTGATCTTGGTCTGTCACTGAGTTGGCGTGGCCGCTTTGGTTAATAGTAAGCCTAAAGGTGCCCATATGCTGCGCAATTCCCGTACGCGAATCGCGGGAAATCCCGTGATCGTAGGTTGTCTTGCGATGGTCGTAAGGTGTATGGGCACCTTTAGTGGTAAGGGGCAGGACCACACTCTTGTATTAGATAACTGGTTCAATATTTGTGTACCAGAAATGGGGCTCTTGTGGCGCTGAATAGGCAAACAGACCTTGGGGGTGAATTTTTTTTTTTTTTCTTCAACTGGAAATTTTTATTACGTTTTGGAATAAATAAAATAATGTACTACACAAAAATAAAATAAAAACAGGGCATAAGAAGCGAAATACACAAATTATAAAGGTTTCTTAATAAAGGCACATGTATTAGCACGCATAAAGCACTTGGGGTCATTTTTACTAAATAGTGGATATTACTATCTTCTCTCTTGTTATGTATCACTGCACTACGCACACCGCAGCCCATCTCAGTTATAAAAATCGAACTGCAATATGTAGCCGGTGAATCCCCATGAAGCTCTCTGCTCAAAAGGACAGAAAACTCTGTGATTGGCGGAGCTCAGATCATGTGACTTGTAAATGTAGATGCAAGCTTTGCCATTTGAAATGTATTTAGGATTGCATTAGCAATTCGTGGATTAATTTCACTTATTGACTAGAATGTCTTTTTTTTTGTATACTTGACATATATGTTAACAGTTTTTCTTCTGAACTAGGTACCGATATAATGGTTCGTTGTGTGAAGCTGATAAAGGAATATAAAAGAAAGGAAAATGATGACGATGAGGATGATGATTTGAAAACTGCATCAGTTCCTATTGACATAATATATGAGAAGGACATGTTAACACAAACCTATGAGCTGAGTATGTGTTTTTCCCTTTGAATCTACTCCTAAATGTATTTGAGCTTTATATAATTTTAAAACAGAACTAAAGTCCACCTGTACTCACTTTCCTCTAGCAATGCAATGTCTGTGAGCTCCCTCACCAGCACCAATATCTTCTCGGATCTTCTTTCAGTTTAGCATGTTTGGCCAACCTGGGATGATGTAACTCCTACGCGTGCACAAGGGAGTAATTTCATCCTGGTACCAACGCATGCAGAGAATGTAGGCTGAGCTGTGCACACAGTGCTTCGTTTTGGACTTTTACATCAGTGTAATACACTAGTGTGTGTGTATATACATATTTATTTATAAAGCAAGAAAACAGGAAGGTCCGGGCACTCACAGGTATTTGAAAAAGCATAAATAATCCAAGGCGTTATTCACTGACGTTTCAGTGGGTTACAGCCTCGATAAACTCCTTGTGAAAGGTGGGCTGTGACCCATGAAAATGTTGGTGAATAAGGCCTTGGATTATTTATGCTCTTTCAAATACATGTTAGTGCCCTTACCTTCACATTTATTTGCTAGATATCCCTTATACCAGCCTTTCTCAATCAGTATGGTGGGTACATTGGGGTGCCATCTGGCTTCTTCAGCGGTGCCGTGATGCATCTTTATTTGTTTCCATGGTGCAGACGGGCTGGCCGCCAGTACCATAGAAATGCTTGTTACCAATGCAGTGCAGGCTAAATCCATGCAGAGGACAGGATTTTGCTCTTTCCAAACCTGCCCCACCATCATACTGCTGTGCTCTGATGTCAAGGGACGGAATGAGGAATGCTGTGCACCAAGAG